TGAACCTAGGACCTTTGCCTTGAAATACATCGCCTAGCCCACTTCCGTTTTTTGCTTTGAGGCAGGATCTTGCTCAGTTATCTAGGCTGGGCTTGGACTTTCAATCCTCCTGCCTCAGCCTCTTAGGGTGTTGGGAGTATAGGTGTGTACCACCACACCCAGTGAAAAAACTTGTTAACCTTTATATCTGGCTTTCTATCGGGTATTTATGGGTTTGGCCCCTTTGGTACTTGAAGAGACTCCTTGAGGTATGTAAAAAATGGAATGACTTAATTTCTTCAGCAGCAGGAGAGCTCTAGGCCTTCACAAGTGCTTCCTTCCTCTGTGTTACAGCAGTTCGGTGCCGCAGCCACTGAAAAGACCTGTGGTAAATTCCCGTCTTGCCTTCATCATTGAAGACTAAAAAGAACCGGATATGCTGCCACATTTCCTGTCATCCCAGCACGCTGGGAGGCTGATGGCAGGAGGATTACAAGTTTGAGCTCAGCCTGGGCAATTTAATAATTTAGCAAGACCCTCATTACAAAGAGTAAAGGTTTAGAAGTGCTGAGTGGGATGGTTCTGAGTTCAGTCTCCAGTTCTAGGGAGAAAACAGAGACTGCACAGTTCTGCAGTTTTTCTTTACTTCTGAGGGAAGCTTGCCCTGGAGCCAGCCATCTCCTATCTGCAGGTGCCGTAGTCACTCACTGCCTGGAAGAAGACGGAGTTTGAGGGTTATAGTCTGGCTTGGGTGAACTGAGCCAGGTGTTTTCAGTGCACTCTGGTTTTCTCCTATGCTGAGAGATCGTTTAGGGTTCTCTCTTGATGGCTCTGAGTACTATACTGAGCTTGCTGAATCTGAATTGTAATAGCATTTGTGGAACATTTATTACATACTAGGGACTCTCAGTTTGCTTTGTTTGTTGAATGTTCCAGGGATCCTGTGAGGAACCTATGACTCTAGTTTTTACAGAGGAGGCCTCAGTTCTGTGTGGCTCTGCTAGGGGCAGAGTAAGTGGACCCTCAAACTCAACATCTGATGCAGAGGCCCCTGTCATCAGCTGTGGGGTGTTGGCTTCCTAGATGTGTTTGCGCCACACAGTTAGGCTGAGGGTCAGACAGAATCTCGGAGTGCACAGTTGAAGCCGTATAATTAGCACCCCCGTTAGTGGGGAGCCACCATCCCTGCGCCTACCATCACAGTCCTGAACTCTCCTCTGCCTGCTACCTCTCCGTCTGGCCTTGGTTCCTGTCCCTTTTTGTCAGCAGCAGTGGATTAGCTCTTGCTCCTTGCCTTTCACAGTAATCTTAAACTAAGTAACCTAAGTAAAAATAGTTTGCCATGCAGATACAGCTTCAGGAAAAGGCCCCTGGCACCACCAGATTCAGATTGCTTCCTGCACATGAACATTTTTTTCCCACTTTTAATGCATGGGTGTGTTTAGGAAGGCCCTTGGCCCTTCAGAGCCAGAGTGAGCACTGGCTTCTGGCTGCTGATGGTTCTATAAGACAGAAGGTGTTTTTCTTCCTCTTCAACTACCCTTTAGCCTCTGATAGGCGTTAGTTGAGGAGCAAGACTATCCTAGAGCCTCTGTGCTATACTCCCCTCTGGAATCCTCGGCCCCGGAAGTCCTTGGGCAGCTAGGCCTTGCTTGGACTTGGGTCTCCATACTTCATTCCCTGTCAGACCACTCCCCTGCCATCATAACTGCTAAAAAATGCAAGAAGGTGTCCTAAGATTGCATCAGGAAGGTTTTGGGCCCATTCTTGCCCCAGTGGGTACGTGGGAACCACTGGCCCCCATGGAATTCTTGATGAGCTGATAGGAGCAAGAGTGACTTGTAGCTCCCTGCTAGTTCTGGGGTTCCCCTTCCGCTTTTGAAGCCTTAGTTCACTGTAGACTAATACAAAAGTCTGTGTGGTCCTTTTCACTCATCTAACCTCCTGCGGCTGTTTTTTGGAGCCCTGAGGGGGACAGGTAGAAGATGGTGTTTCCTGAGTTGGACTTGGGACCGTTATGGCAAGAGCAAGTTTCAGAATGCAGAGACACGGGAGGCAGAGATTTTTTGACTGCTTGGAATGGTAGTGGATATGGGGCTAGCTCCTGTGATCAGATTGATTTTCACCATGAGCCAAATCATCTGCCAAGCTCAGCCGAACCTTCGTATTCTACATGTGTTGTGTGCACCTGTGTGAGCACACAGTGGGTGGCTGGAAGGGAACTCCGAAAGGGAAGTCAAGTCAGAAAGTGTAGTTGTTTTTCCAGCCTCCACAGTGCTGAGAATAACTTTGGAAGATCTTCTGGGTTTCCCTAGGACCTTGTATGATTTTTAAGACACCTGTGACTGTGATGTGAAGGCAGATGGTTTTATCTCCATGAGAGCTTTGTTCCTGGTAGGGGTAACCTGAGACTCTTAACTGGGAGCATAGTAAGAACAGGGTACTATGGTCTCTAGAACAGAGGGGCCTAGGGGCATGCTTTTCAACAGGACTGATTTAAGAATAGTCCTGTGTACACCTTGCCTAGCCACATTGCCCTGGTTGGTTTGGGATTGGCGTGAAATAGGGAGTTTGGGGCTTTCAGAGGAAGGGCGCTGTGACGAGGCTGACCTTGCAGTAAGGTGCTTTACCATGTTGGATGTGATTTTAGTGAACAAATTGTTGGCAGGATGATCATGATCGCAGTATCTGACATTTCTTAATTTTCAAAGTGTTCTAGTAAAAAGCAAGAGAAACCCAGCGACCTGAAAAAGTTTGCCCCACCTTTTTAAGGAAAGTCTTCAGAACACCTTGCCTCTGAACCTGATCCCTTTTCTCAGCTTCCTGTCAGTAAACTTATGTTATAGGCCCTTTGGCCTGCGTTGCCCTGGTAACTTATAAGAGTGTTGCTGGGTGCTGGGAGAAATCATTGCCAGCCGTAGCTCAAGTGTGCACACTAGTGGCTAACCTGGCCCTCCTGCACATTTGGGGGAACTCTTTTAACTTATCAGAGAACTGGGGGGAGGTGGTGTTTGGCTTGTCTGGGTGCACCTAGGGGTCACAGGGGAAGGGGATACAGGATGCCCTCCTGGTCTAGGGGTACCGTGCTCTCGGGGCTGAGAGCTTCTGGGTTTCTGCTCCCTAGCACTGGGGGTGGGTGGGGGTGACCGTGGTAGGGCTGGGAGTCAGGAGTGCATTGCCCTCACAGTCTTGCCTACTCATTAAGGGAACATAGATGCCAAGGAATAGAATGCTTCTTTCGAGGCCAGCCAGGTGCATTTCTCTGCACAGGAGCAGCGGGCAGCTCTTGGCCTAGCGTGGTTGGCTAACGGTGGAGGCAAAGTATGGGGAGAAGTGGATGAGCACAGCCCCAGGATGTGCATTTTCCTGTGGGTATCTGAGAAAAGGACAGACAACCCTGATAATCAAAACTGTTGGGAAAATAAGTGTGCGTGTAGAAGGAACTGGAGCCACTTCCTTTATTTAAAAAAAAACAAACAAAAAAACCCATTTGTTTTCTTTTTTAAAAGCACCTGTCTGGCCAGGTGCGGTTGTGCTTGCCTGTCGTCCTAGCTATTCAGAAGGTAGAGGCAAGAGGATTACTGCAAGTTTGAGCCCAGCCTTGGCAACTTAGCAAGACCCTGTCCAAAAAAAATGCTGATTTTTTTTTTGTTGTTGTTAAAGGACTGAGGATATAACTGGGTGATACAGTGCTTGCCTAACATGCATAGGCCCTTGAGATTAACCCCCTGGTACAAATTTTTAAAAGGCTCATATCTGTCTTTATAGAAAGGTTATAAGTTATAAAATTAGAACTTTGTAAATTTGTAGAATGTAGAATCCTTGTAAATTCTAAAATTGTTGTAAATACAGTCATTCCTGATAGTACGTGTCCTTTCAGAATTTCTATTGAGTGTATGCACATATGCATCTTTGTATTACAGAAAAGGGATTGTTTATTAACTGTTGTGTTATCTTTCCATAGTAGTCAAAATAGTTATCTTTAATTACTAGTCTAAAGTAGTGTGAACTTAAATCTTTTTAGCCAGTTCCTACTGTTAGATTGATATGTAGAGTATTTTTGATTTTTAAAGGTTGCCCGGGGATATATAGCTCAGCAGCATAGTGCCTGCCTGGCAAGCGCAAGGTCCTGAGTTCGATTCCTGCTACCAGAAAAAAAGTTTAAAAAAAATTTTTAGAGGTTATAAGTAGAACTTTAGTTGGTTATCCTTTTAGTTGGTTAAACTTTAGTTGGTTAAACCAACTTTAGTTGGTTCTATAAGTAGAACTTTGATGGTTATCTTTATGCTTTGTTCTCATATGATTAATAATAGATTTTTTGTTGTATTTTGAGATAGTGTTTCGCTGTGTAGTTCAGGCTGGCCTAGAACTTGTGGCAATCCTTCTGCCTCAGCCTCTTGAGTGGTAGGATTATAGGTGTGCACACCATGACTGGGTCGGATTTGAAAGGTGGTACTTAGTGTGAAGTCAAATGGGAACCCACTTTTTCTTTGGACACTGAGAGGCTGGCTCTTCCATTGGCCACAAGTCACTGAGGGCAGAGCCAACCACGATATGGTCCCTGGCCCTCTTTATTACCCAGACTTTGCCTTCCCAGTGATTACTAACCCTAGTATCTCACTCAGAGACTTCAGGAATGTTAGGGCCACAAAGTTCTAAGAGACCTTTCCTTTGTGAATCTGGCATGACTCGGGAGCCCTGAATGGTGGTAGTAACTCTGGTTTGGAATTCCCGCTCCGGGGAAGGGTACATGTGTACCCTGTAAGGGTCTGTCCAGCTCTGAGTCCGACTTTGGGGCTTTGGTCTGCTGATTTTGTATGTTGTATCTATCCATGATACATTTAGGAAGGGACTGGCAAAATAGTTTCTGGTGACAGAGCACATTTATCCTCTCTCCACTGTGCTCCTGTTTTTGGGGATCTGCAGGTTTGGTAGGGTTGAGGGGGTGGTGAGGGTGAGGAGATGGCAGTGGCCTGCACATCGGCTCTGTATAACCGTTTGTCTCTCCCTTGTTCCCACAGAACATTCTGCTCCAGCCAAGGTGGTAAGGGCTGCAGCTCCTAAACAGCGCAAAGGCAGCAAGGTAAGGAGTAGGGGAGGTGGTGCCCACTCTCCTGTTGCAGTAAGTGCTTCTGGGCTGCCAGGTAGTTAAGGATCCTATCTGCACAGCAGGCCTGCCCAGTGTGGGCGGTCCTAGTAGACACACTGATCTAACCCCTTAGCTCTCAGTGGAGCTAGTTGTTGGGTGAGGAGGAGCTGAATGGCGGGGCGGGGGGGGGGTGTCACCCTTGGGCCTCATAGAATGTGTCTTGCAGGTTGGTGACTTTGGAGATGCAATCAACTGGCCTACGCCTGGAGAGATAGCCCACAAGAGTGTACAGGTGAGTCTGGGGAGGGATGGGCAGTTCGAACTCTATCCACATAAACACATTGGGCTTTACAAGCTTCCAGAGCATGGGGTCTTACGTTTCTTATGTGTGCCAAGCACAGTGGCACACACTTGTAGTTCCAGCTACTTAGGGGGCTGAGACAAAGAGGGTCACTTGAGTTCCAGGAGTTTGAGGTCAGCCAGGGCAACATAGTAAGACACCCATCTCAAAAGAATAAGAAGGTATTAGTTAATATAACACAGGCAACATCGAAATAGCTAGAAATTGTCATCATTTGAGCTGCCTTGTTTGAGGGACTACCAGCTGCTGCCTGTCATCTCTGACCTTCCAGGGACTCCAAGATGGGTCTTTTTGTGATTCCCACTCTTTATGAGACTTCCAAAAATCAGTTCACACCCCTTTATGGTCAAGTGGATATTGGAGGTCAGGTGTGCTGTAGTAGTCCAAAGCCTGTGTTCTGCTCACTGCACTTGGATTTTCTATCAGTGAAATAGGGCAGTAGATTTTTGTTGTTGTTTTGGAGACAGGGCCTCACTGTGTATTCCACACTGGCTTCAAACCCACTATGTTGCCCAGACTGGCTTGAACTCACAGCAGTGCTTCTGCTCAACCTCCCAAGTGCTGGGATTTCAGAGACTATATGTGAAGCCATGTACCAGCCTCCAGCTTGAGGAAGCTTGAGTAGCAGAGGGGACTCCTGGTCAGTTCTTTCCTCCCAGTGTTTTTGTTGTCTTGTTCGTTGGCTGTGACCACCTTGAATGGGTGAAGTCCTTAAATTTTAGAGCTGATGTAGCTGCCAGGGGCCAGCACATCTTCTGCCCTGTAGACAACCAGGACCACATGGTATCCCCACCACTGGGAGTAAACCCTTCCTGTGGGCCCGAGCACCCATTTCCTGGAGTTTGTCTATGTCACTTAGACTCACGTGAACTGGAAAGACAAATTGTCTCTCCTGCTTCCTAGCCTATTGGACGATGTGTGTCAGCAAAAGCTTTTCAGGCATAGAAACAGCTTTTGGATGCAGCCAGGCCAATTTGCCATCACATGCCATAGCTCCTCTGTCTTCTTAGGGACAAGATCCCTCCTCCCATCTCAGGAAGTGTCATACATGCTCCCTTCTTGTCACTTTGCCTCTTGCTACAGCCACAGTCTCACAAGCCTCAGCCTGTGCGTAAGCTGCCACCCAAGAAGGACATGAAGGAACAGGAGAAAGGAGAGGGGAGCGACAGTAAGGAGAGCCCCAAAACCAAATCAGACGAGTCCGGGGAGGAGAAGAACGGGGATGAAGACTGCCAACGTGGTGGGCAGAAAAAGAAAGGTGAGTGACTTGGAGCAGGACCTGGGAGTAGGCAGCGGGGCAGAAGGGACCTGTCAGCTCAGCAGGCTGCAGGGGAACTTCAGGTCCTGGAGAAGCTGATTGCTCTGGGCAATTGGGACAGCCATTGTGAGTCCATCAGTTCCTCCTCTTAAAGACAAGGATTTTCATTGCCCCAAAAATGTCCTAACTCTTCAGGAATGGTTAGGATATAGGTTCAGCGGCTCCCGTAGAGATCCCACACAAAGTAGAAGTTTGTTTCTCCACACATAGCTTGTTGTAAGCAGTCCAGGCCTTGTATGTCAAGTCTGGCTCCTTTCATCTTGCTACAGCACACTGGCTCTGCACCATCCACGATGGCTGCCTAATTCCTGCGCCCTCTGGCTAGCAGGAAGAGAGAAAGGAAAGGTAGCACTTTTCCTTTTGCCTAGGGAAAAGTGGGGTTAGCCACTTAACTTCATAACTAACAGGGAGTAGTTTGTCTAATGAAAGTCTGGGAACTGTAGTGTTTATTTTGGGCATCCATATGTCTGGCTTTGGAAGGTAATTCTCTGATTTCGAGAAATGAGTGTTGGGAGTTAACCTCCATCACAGAAGACCACTGATTGCCTTGTTTTAGAGATGCAAAAGAGGTCTTGCTAGTGTGTGGGAAAAGAATTTGCCAGATGTCACCAGATTGTGATTTGGACCAAAGCCCAGAGCAGAAGAGTTGGATCTGGAGGACCTCTTTCAAGCCTTTCTCCCATGCCCATGCTGTCCCCCAGGGAACAAACACAAGTGGGTTCCGTTGCAAATAGACATGAAGCCTGAAGTACCCAGAGAGAAACTGGCCTCACGGCCCACTCGCCCGCAGGAGCCGAGACACACACCTTCGAACCGTGGGGAAATCAAAGGTATGCCCTTCCCTGCACAGAGGGCCAGGCCTGGAGCGACACCATCAGGCCTCACACCGTGCCCTCTGTCCACAGGGTCTGAGCCTGCCACCTACATGCCTGTGTCTGTGGCACCCCCCACCCCAGCCTGGCAACCAGAGACCAAACCGGAACCCGCCTGGCACGACCAGGATGAGACGTCGAGTGTGAAGAGTGATGGGGCTGGTGGGGCGCGGGCTTCCTTCCGTGGCCGTGGACGGGGGCGTGGTCGAGGCCGGGGACGCGGCCGGGGTGGCACTCGAAGTACGTGAGGCCCCTTTGGGCTCAGGGAAGCCATGGGAGTGCGGCGGGGTGGTGGGCCGAAATCTTCTCTTCCTCATGGCACCTGTTTCTTCCATAGCCCATTTCGACTACCAGTTTGGCTACCGAAAGTTTGATGGCACAGAGGGCCCTCGCACCCCCAAATACATGAACAACATCACCTACTACTTTGACAATGTCAGCAGCACTGAGCTGTACAGCGTGGACCAGGAGCTGCTAAAGGACTATATCAAGCGTCAGATGTGAGTGCGTGGGCGGGGTGGGTTTCAGGGCTGCCAGTGGTTGCACGTGGCAGAGCAGGGCTAGCCGGCTTCCTCTGGCCTTAGCTGCAGTTGTGACCTTGGTGAAAGATAACTTGCCTCTTGTCCCTTACACTGACTGTTACTGTCTGTTAGAGAAGTACAGCCGTATTAGGCTTAAGGAAATAAAAAGCTACCACCAACACGAAGGAGGAAAAACTTCTAGAACCTGTCTACTCTGTGCTTCCATTTGTAGTGACAGCATTGACAAAATACCGGCGAACATTTTTTGAGTTCTCACTGTTGGCTTGATACAGCGTAAAGTGCTTTACAGGCATTATCTTACTTAACCCTGTAACTTTTAACCTCAGAATTCCTATGAGCTGGGTCTTCTATTCCCATTTTATAGATGAGCCAACAAGTCTAATAACTTGCCCAGAGTCTCCTAGTTAATACGTAACACCAGTTTGAATCCATTTTTTTTCTGATGGCAGAATCTTTGCTCTTAACCACAGTTCACTGGACAAGTCACACAAGGAAATAGATCATTATAACAGAGTGTTACTAGTGTTTTAGAAGCAGAAAAGAAAGTGACTAACAACTCTGGAACTGGGTTTTAAAGGAGGATGAGGAGTTTGCCAGGCATGCCAAAGGGTGGGAGGGCAGAGGAAGTGATTTGACTAAAGTAGAGGGTCATAAAGGGAGAGCATCATTTCTTTCCAGCCCTCACTCGGTGCAAAAGGATGGGACAGGTGACAGTTGGTTTGAGACTGCCAGGGTGGACAGCAGAGCAGGGAAGATACACTGGTAAGTGACGCAGCCATCACTCAATGATCTCTCTTCTCCCCTCCACTCAGTGAATACTACTTCAGCGTGGACAATTTAGAGCGAGACTTCTTCCTGAGACGGAAAATGGATGTCGATGGTTTCCTTCCCATCACCCTTATTGCTTCCTTCCACCGAGTGCAGGCCCTCACCACTGACATTTCACTTATCTTTGCGGTATGTCTTACTCCTTCTGTAGTCCTGAAATTTAGCTACCTTCCTCTCCTCCTTCCTTTCTTACCTCTTTCTTATTACAAAATATAGTGAACGTACCACAAGTATCACCTTCCAGCCAGTTTTGTTCCATTTATCTCATGATCTATGTCCTTGTAGCTGTCCTCAAGATAATCCTAGGGAGCCTGTCATTTCATCCACATATTTCAGTGCAGAGGTGTGTTTTAAAAACAGCCACAGGAGCTGGGGATTTAGCTCAGTGGCACAGTGCCTGCCTGGCAAGCTTAAGGCCATGAGTTTGATTCCCAGTACTGGAAAAAAACTAAATACATACATACATACAGCCACAAAAAAAGAAAAAGAAAAAGAAGAAAGAAACAACCACATCATCACACCTAGAAACACTAACAATTTCTTACTATCACCAGATCCCCAGTTTCAAATTCATTTCCGTTGTATGTCACCTTTCACAGTGTACCAAGCTTCCCTTTTCCTCTCACTTTCTCATGGCAGTTTATTACATGAGTAATAAACTGGGTTGTGTATTACTCTTGATAATCATTTCCTGTGATTTCATTATGGAGATATTCTTGGTCAGTCTTCATTTATTAGTTCTAATACCTCTTTCAGGAAAAGCTTTGCTTCATCAGTTATCCACTAATGGTTATATAGGAAGGGTTATAGTATAGAGATAAGTGCTGTGTTTTTTCATTTCGTTAATAGTTTGCAGAATTAGCAGTTGATCTTTTTTTTTTTTTTTTTTTGGTTTTTCTCCGGTACCTGGAAC